TTTTACGGCGCTCGCAACTGCATAAGGTCATATGAGCGCGCGGGACACACCAAACATTTTCAGTTTGGAAGGAAATTAAAAATTTTGCCAAGGTGGCAGCCGAAGCCCACTCTTATCGATTTTGGACCACCAAGGGATCTTTAATGTGCACATCTTGCACACCTGACCTTCGAGATTTTTCGCCCTTGTCCAAGAACGCTAGGTGCACATCTTTCCTACCAGAAGATCAGGGGTGTGGCTAAAAGACGGCAGTAAGAAGGAACCAATAAGTAGCTGTAGAAAGGCTGCAGAAAGAGTCAGAAGCCCAGAGGAGGGGGCAAAGGAGGTGACGGGTGGGGTCAAAAAGTGGAGAAGAAAGCAGACGACAAAACATTACTAGAGAGAATGAAAGGAGGTGGAAGGAGACGCTTTTAGAAGAAAGTTTTCCATCGCTACCCGGATTCGAACCCGGGACCTTTGAATGAGAGGCGAACATCTAAACCTCTAGGACACGAGAGCCCCTGCCTTTAAAATAATAATAATAATAATAATAATGGATTGCATTTTATATAGCGCATATCCACTTATGCAATGCTCTGTGCGCTTAACATGATACAAATTATGGATTTTTCAAATCAATTTTAAAGGCACATATTGTCACATATGCGTGCACACACATATTCACGCACGCACGCACCACACACACATACACGCATACATACACACATACACACATACACATATACGTACATACGCACACACACACATACATACTCACAACGATCTACAGCTTGAATGGATTCTGTCTAATCGAAATATGCTGAAAATAGAAATGCTTTTAGTTTCTTCTTAAAAATGTCTAGATTTTCTGCTTCTCTGATAGTTTTTGGAAGCCTATTCCAAACAAGTGGGGCAAAATATGAAAAAGAGCGTTGGCCTTATGATTTGTAATTTATTTTTAGGTTTAACAAAGGTTGTTTTGTCACTTGATGATCTAGGGGGTATGAAGGGTATTAAAAACTGTTTTAGATAGTCATGTGATAAATCATGTAAGCACTTGTACCAAGCTAAACAGATTTTATATATTACGCTCTTTCACCGGGAGCTAGTGTAGTTCTTTTAAAATAGAAGTCACATAATCATGCATTAGTTTCTTAGTATAGTTTCTTAGTAATTATTTCGGCAGCAATATTTTGTACTCTTTGTAGTTGTTGTAACTGTTCATCTGGTACACCAACCAGTAAGGAATTGCAATAATCAATCCTTGACAAAATAAGTGATGTTATTAAAGTTTTGGTGACACCAACAGATAGATATTTTCTAATGCTCCCTATTTTGTTCAGTTGGGGATATAGATTTTTACAAAGATTGGATACATGGGATTTCATTGACATATCTTGATCTAGCACCACATCTAAATTTTTTATTTTAGTTTGGGCTGATATTTCGTGGCCATTGATTTTTATTCTGATATTGTAGATTTCATTGCATGCGCTGCTGCGAAGAAATAATATTTCGGTCTTATCCTCATTTAATTTTAATTTGTTTTTGAGCATCTATTTTCTTATATCATTGATACACCTGGCTATTCTATCTATGAGATTGTGTACATTGTCAGTTGTAGTGAATCCATACAGCTGTGTATCGTCTGCATAAAGATGGTAATTGAGGGCATATCAAAAATTATTGATGACAGACTTTGCGTGTACATTGTAAAGATGACAGGACCAAGGACCGAAACCATGAGGAACCTTTCCCTCTACTTGGTTTTTTTTTTCTCCTTCTCTAATCGTCAGAATAATTTCCTTTTCTTCTAATATAAATTTAATGTTTTATTACTTCCTTTCGACCCCAGAAATTGAATGACTACTTTGACGTGAGATTGGTTTATAGTTTAGCAGGAAAAAAATCTGAGATTTGAATAAGTTTTCAGTTTTCGACAGATTGTTCAAATTTTACATGATGCACTTTATGGGATATTATAGAAACGTCATTAGGGGTTGTTCAGTATGCCACGTTCAATATGCCTTTCCATATGTCCCGATCAACATGTCCTGTTTGATGCTCGCCGTTTAATATGCTCTGTTCAATATGTCTTGTCCAATGTGTCCCATTCAATAGGTCCTGTCTAACAGGCCCCATTAATTCAGTTCTGGTCTATTTGATTGAGATAAGACTTCGTCTTGTGTGTGTGTGTGGGGGGGGGGGGGGGGGG